ACTCCGTCTATATACTAGTCCCGAGAAAGGGCACGTGAAAACGCGTTTGCCTCACGATCCAGAGCCTCAGATGACCCTGGCTGCATTTTGTTTACGTTCAAGATCACCAATATCGCGTTGCGGAAAATACAAAAGAGACCTATCAACTTTCCACGTCAAGAAGGGCATATAAAGTGCGAGACTGAATGGGAATGTTTACAATCTTCCTATCCTCAATCCCCCTTTCAGTTTCTTACCCCAGCCCAGGTAGTTCAAGGTATGTTATGCATCACCGTCGATAACACTTTGATATACTGATATCGGGAAATAGTAGCATGGCATCTACACCTGATCTGTTCATGCGGAGGACGCGCGGTCTTCCACGTCGGGATTATAATGCTCTGCACAATGGCCTGATTTCTTCGCCTTCACAGCAGTCTGAGGGATCTACCTGTGAAACAGGACACCCTTCCTCTCCTGAGCCCTCTTCGCCTAGGGACCTGGAAAACGTTCAAAACACACCTCAATCGAAGCGGTCTTACTCTTTGCTTAGCTCCTCGCCTTCCCCGCTTGATCCTGCCTTTTCAGAGAGCAGGAGCGATGCGAGTAGTCCGCACCCGTGTAAAAGACGAAAGCCCAAATCATATATTTTTAGTATAGTTTTGATTAAATTCAGGGGTTAAATAACTACTATGGCTGTCAAGTACCAGGAGGCTGTACTTGCCCACTAATTTGCCTCTGATCCACGGGATAAAGTGTTTTTAAAGCTATTGAAGTCTAATTATATCAGTGGTCTAACTGTTATCGCTGACTTTAATTCTCTAGGTAGAGGGAACGGATCGACCTTCATACTATGTCTTGAGATGTGTTTTATCTTTGAAGATTAGGGTTGAAGGTAGAACCACTCTATTAGATTGAATATACTTAATTAAAGTGACCTATTCCCGATTTCCTGGTTGAATTAGAGATGGCCGGCCAGCTCTCTGGGAACTAGTCACTACTTTAGATGTAGTGATTATCCCTACAATAAATCCTGTTTTATTAAAATTATAGATATCATCTGATGAGATTCTATATTTTTGTATAACCGCCTGGACCTGATTGAACTAGTCTTTTATAATCTCAGGATCCTCTATCTTAGCTTTTTGATAGTTGTATTGTCTAGCGAACCGGGTATGGAGAGACTCGTGGCGTTTAACAAAGCTGTAGGCCTAGTTGGTACCTACTTCTTCGGGTGTTGAATAGCCTCGTTTAAATAAAATTAGATTGGCTATATTTCTGACTTCAAGTGGCTGAGGACTTGCACCTCGCTTATCTAGAGATAGAATCCATTTGACGAGTGATTCCTCTTCATTTTTAGATAATTTTTGACGTGCGTGGACCATATCTTTAGCGAAATTACATCTAGATAATCGAGCGCGAAGAGTGATTCGAGCGATATTATAAACACGCGCTACTTTGCGAATACTGGTGATTTGGTCTTTTTAAATAGCCTTAATAGTAAGAAGGATCCTGCCTTCCTGTTCTACCTGCGCTTTTGATGATATAGGTGTTTTTGGTGGCATCTGTAGTGGTCGAATAGCTTCAGGTAGGAATTCGAGGTGGTGTTTTCAAAAGGGGTGGGCCGCCCAACCGTTGATTACGTTACCTGCCGCGCCTGTTTACGTAATCAGTCGACTAGAGCCATTTTGTTCAGCTTCTAACTTGTCCAAATTCCGTCAGCGTCTGCCGAAAGTGCATCTGTCATGGAATACCTCACCTCGCCTCACATAGTATATTCTCAAGAGCACAAAAAAGTGCATACTTGGATTGGGAAGCCACAACTGCCAGCCACGGATCTATACAGACCGTTAAGCGGATTCTGCAGGTCGGTGAAGCGATTAGCTTCGCAGAGCCCCAAGGCAAAGAGGAGTTACGCTCTCTTCAGGGGTGTGCTCCATCTTCCAGCTTCGGATGCAAGTAGTTACTGGCGGCATCCTGACTCCGGCCATCTGTGCCGACAAAGCGGAGGGAACGTTGAACGCCGTTGCTGGTGTCGAGGTCTTGGAGATCCTTGACCGTCGGGTAACCGACCTCGTTGGCGGCAGCAATGAATTGAGCTGCCATACGCTCAGAGTAGAACGTTCCGGGAGACACAACAATAGGACCGTCTTTTCCATGAACAGACTCCGGGCCAGGGCCATGATACGTCTCAAACTATAACAAGTAATGGCGGGTTAGTCAAGACTGTAGTATAAAGTGACAAGGCTGTATGGGTCACAGAGCGCAGCTTTGGCGATTTTAATCACTTACTTTCTTCAAGAATGGGATCATTTCATTGATAGACCATTCCGGAATGGCCCACGAATCCCAATCATGGCGTTGAGCACGAGTGTACATCATCATGTTGATTGACGAGCCTCCGCCCAGCACACCACCGGTGGGTACGACCATTTCGCGATTGTCCAACTGCGGCTCTGCATTTCCCTTGTAGAACAGGGTTGCAGTACTGGTGGGAAGCAATGCAGTTGGGAAAAGGAGTGGGAAGGCAAGCAAGTGGTTGCCCTTATTGTTCTGTCCGCCCTCAATTACGAGGATGGACAGCGAGGGGTCAGCATCGGCGAGCCTGGAAGCCACGACGCACCCCGCGGTACCGCCTAACGAGAGAGCAGAGCTGGTTAGTATGAACCTTATGATGGGCAGAAGAGGTGAATGAACAAACCGCCCGCGACGATGATGTCGACCTCGTCAACGCCTTTGGGTAGTCGAGTGTAGATGCCCATATTGCTTGTTGGATGTGATGGTGCGAAAAGGATGGGGATGGAATGAACTGCGCGCAGTGGATGGGATCACGCTAGGCTTAATAGCTTCGGGTAGGTCGCCCGGCTGGCATTCACCCCGCTGGATGTTTCATGCCGCGTGGATCCCTGCCAGTCTCTGGGGCCAACCACCTGATTCTGTTGGACAAGGCTGCCTGGCTGGTTACCCCACACTCCCTGCAGTCAGCAACGGACGGGTGTCTCAGATTATGGCCGGATATACAGCGCCCACAGTTAATGACCTGGTTCATCCCGGTAATATTGCGCCACGCCCCTGTGAATTGGTCCCTGGTGTGCCCGTGCGCTCTCTTAGGTGATGGATGTTGCCTCTTTTACTAGCTGTTTACTACTTCAAAACTTACTATACCTCACATCTTGTGATGTACTTGCTGTACCGTAGCTTTAGCATACATACCAAAACACTTGAAGCAATTAATATTGATTGAGAAGATCACAGTTGTATCAGGCTAACAGTAAAGTACGACGTAAATTTAAGTTTGCTTGGAGCTGATAAGTAAGTGCGTTACTGCAGCTCGGTGAAATCCAGCTTCTCAAATTTGAGAGGAAGGGCAATGAGAAAGCCAAGCGCTGCACCAAACAAAATCAAATAAAACACAGAGGCCACACTCTGCGTTACTGCGTTGGTGACCTTAGCCCGAACCTGTTCGCTCAACGACGCAAACAAGCTACTTCCCGCTCCATCAATGGCGCCTCTGATCTCGCTAAGAGCAACATTTGGTGAAAGGGACGATATCTCCTCCGTGGCATGGTTGATAAGAACAGACATGGCGATGCCCAGTGACAAGGCGAGACCACCCATCTGCGCACAAGAGAAGAACGCCGTAACGTTCTTTCGTGCCGCCTGGGGGCGCTTCAACTGGCCCACGGTGTAGCCAAGCTGAATGACTGGTCCGACGCCGAAGCCTTGGATAATGGTATAGCCACAAATGGCAGCCTGAGATGTGTGCGTGTGGATGCTGGACAGCAGGCCGTTGGTAACAAGGAGCAGCGCACTGGCCCAGATGACCAGCACTTGTACCACGGGATCTTGGGCAGAAGTCCCCCGCTGATGCCGGCACTGACCACAACAGATGCCACAAATGGCAGTGTGTATACCGCAGAACGCATCGAAGAATCATGCAGCACAAACTGGAAAAACAGCGGAAGCGTGTAGATGGCGACGTCGATGTCAGAAATGGCGGCAATCGTCCAGATCCACAGGCCGATCGCCAAGGGGTCCTTGAAGAACTGCACGGGGAAGATGTGATCCGATGTAAGAAGGTGGAATTTCTGCTGCAGAGCAAATATGATCCATAACAGAGCAGTGGCAACGTAAAGTCCAATCATCTGGCTGCTACCCCAGCTGTACACAACGCCGCCAAAACCCAGCAGCATGACTGTCGATACGACAGAGCCAAGAAAAAGCGCAGCACCCAGATGGTCAAATGCCTTAATCACGTCCATGAATCCCAGAGGCACACTAGGTGGCGCCGAAGGCATGATCCAGATACACGCGGGGGCGGCAACGGCGGCAACGCAGATGTTGATATAAAAAGCCCATCTCCATGTGACAGGCGAATCAGCAAACGCAGTTCCAATAATGGGGCCAAGGATGGTTCCCAAGCTCCACGCCATGCCGACAAAGTTGAGATATTGGTTTTGTTCTTTGGGAGTCGTCATTCCGGTGATCATGCTAATGGTGCCGACGTAGATGCCGGAGCCACCGGAGCCAGCCAGAGCGCCACCCACGATGACAGCGCCAATAGACGAGGCTGAGCCAATTACTGCAGATCCTACTTCGAAGATAAGCAGGGCGGCGAGAAAGTCAAATTTGCCGTTGAGGAACTTGTTAAGCATAAAATGTCCTCCAAAGTTCCATAAAAGGGCATTCTGAAACCACAGCATCCTTGATTTGATAACTTGCACCAAGTAGTCATCAACAAAACAGTACGAGGTTCCTGAATTGGGGCAGCGCATAGGAACTTAGAAGCCGACGAGACGTTCGCGATTATCTGGACGAGCGAAACAGCCGGAAAGAGTCTTCTTGCAGAATGGACAATATGGTTAGCACTGTCGTCTTCTTAGACATTCATAGGCCAACTGAGGATTTCCCAAGGCGTTGGAGAGCACGGAATCGTGAAAGAAGTTGCTGAAACAATCATAGCAATAAAAGCGCGCCTCGCTGCGCAGCGCCTAGATAGAATACAACAACATACTCTCACGCTACATCTTGCCTCTAGCTAGTAGAGCCGTTTCAACAGTATATTTACTATACATAACTTAGAGATCCAATAGTACGGTCCTCTAAAATACAAAGAATACTTAACGTACTTCACGGTCGCATCGCCCACCTTATACAATCTTGAATTATCATATCTCGACGACAATATACTGTGAAGCTCTAAGACTCCGTGGATACTTTGAAATAGTCACTAAGAATATATATATCGAAATAATGAATATATTTATTCCTTTCAATTACCATTGCCATGGTAATACTGGTAGACCCTGTAATATATGCGCTTATATATATTTAAAGAACTGAAAAGTCTGGCATCTTTGATAGTCTATATAACACGTAGATTTGGTCTCATACTAATAGATCTTGCAGTCGTGGAGATATCTTGTTATGAATATTTGTCCTGTACATGGTAATATGGGGTGGGCGACCTGAGCGGGTGGGCCATTCGACCGAGAAGTACGTTAGGATCCTTGAATGGGTCGGTTACTCTACAGTAAAACCTATATATAAGCAACTCCGATATAGGGAATCCTCCACTTGGAGCAATTCAATCACTGGTCTGAATTTAATTTTACATATTAAATTGCTTAATATCTCGCTACTAGGAAATTGCTAACTTTTGACTCTCCTCCCATACAAAATTGCTTTTATGGGAGTATTGTGGATCTAAATATTTTTAAGTATCCAATTATATATCTCAAATACAGACACTGTACGATATTTTAATGATAAAATACACAAAAACACGTGATTCTGGCCAATTGGTCAGTCTTGGGCTATTTTACATACATTTTGATATAAGGAATCTCCAATAAAAGCAATAATAGGCCGTGTCTCATTTGATTGCTTATATCGGTGTTTTACTGTACTTAGTTTAAGTTATTTTCGGCTATTAATGGTCTTGGCAATCACGGGTAGAGGTATAGGGTCATTTGACCTCTCCCGAGAGATTGACTTGGGGACATTAATCCTGACCGGGATGCTATTTGCAAGCTGGAGTCAAATCATTAGGACGGCCGACAGAATGTTGGGATGAGCGTGCATTAGCTGACAGAATCTCTCTCAACGTTTGACTTAGCATATGAAAGATGCCGGATACGGTCTGCGGCGGCATCATGTTTTCAGATATACATCGTGGAACCACATTTTAATTAAAGTTAAATAAATAGTGCTCTTTCTCTTCTTTGTACCAGTACTTCCCTCCACTGGGACTATTACTATAACACACAAAGCTCTCTCGACTCTATTGTATGCTAAGTCTGCTCGAAAGTAAGATACGCGCCATACGATCGCTTGTTCACTGTTATATCGGCCTTTAAAAGGTAAAAGGTCCCTACCATGTGTGAAAACTTGACCCAAGACGAAAGCCGGACTGAATTGATCCGTTAACACATGCAGGCCGCTGCCTGAAATAAACCCATTCCTTACGTCAGCGGTATTCGCGTGTGTACAGCTGCCGTTGCGAACCAATTGCGAAATTTGCTGGTTTCATGAGGGGCAGCAGAAAACCTTCCAAAAGACCAGCAGATCAACAGCTCACTATACGCCATTCTCCATGTAAGTTCCATCCCTGATAAGCACCTTATTTAAAGATGGGCGGTCTCTTACCGCAGTGTTCCAAGCAGGGCAATAAGTGTGCTTTGACAACAATGGCGGTTATTGCTATCAAACCTTCTGATGGAGTCATAAGACAACGTGAAGCTGCTTGGAATTCAGTGAAGGATGGCTGTGACAAAATAAACGAACCTGGAAGTGGAACAAACATGAAGTTCTTTCTGCCAACAGTGGACTGTGGTTTCACTATCAACTCTGTTTGCGATGAATACCCTCGAAAGGTAAACTTCTCCTTACCATCATTCACAAACTCTAACTTTGCTACCAGGTCGCTCAATCCCCCGCACTATACGACAAGCAACCAGCGAAGATTTCGTTTTACCGTCAGGCATGTTTCGTCTATTTCCCCGGTGATACAATAATCGAGACTTTCACCATCCTCGTACCTCTTCGTGTTTCAGGGCAGATCGAACTTGGGAATGAGAACGATTACATAACGATGGATGAGGATCATTATTATCACATATTGAGCAAGGCTGTTTTAAGGCTAAGGGCTGGTAGTAGGCTCGAAGCTATCGCCATAGGCAGAATAAAGTAGAACGCTAGGGAGTAAGGATTTGGGGTCTTGTTAGGACACAGGAAACAACATCATCAAATTCACTCCAAAGATTATGTCGACAGTTTTCCACTAGTTCACGATATATGAAACGCAGACTATAGCATCGTGGCCTGCAGAGGAAACGCAGGCATGCCGTACTGATCAATAATTGTGTCGTGACCTGTAGGAGCATTCAACCCGTAGCTCGAGGATGGGAGTGGGCCGGAATATGGATCGACCCGTGTAGGAGCGTTCGAAGCGATTATAGACGATCGAGTATCTCCAATCGAGGGTGGCTAGAGGTAAAATTAGCCATTGATAATTCCTAAAAGAGTGCTGCAGTTCTCCGTACGTTCTGTTCTCGACCACACGATGACAGTAGTCTCTTCCTTTTCGACCGGTGAAGCCCGGCTCCCTCTCCATCGTCAACAGCACTAGAAATTGAGCTTGATTCACTTGCTTGATCGGCTACATTTGCAAGGTCACGTTGGAGAGCCTGATTATGTAAGGAACCGGCTCTATGGGTTTCAGCGGCCGTAGTGGTGGTGGTGTTCCATGCCGTGCGTCTCCAAGCATGAACGCACGATCTCTGCAAAGTTGTTGAGCAAAGCTCACCCGGGGTTTCGGTGGAAAATAACGATGTGGTGTCAGTTCCTGCCAGCCTTCCTGCGTGTCTGTTTTCAGTATTTAATGTTGATTCACTATTGTGTGGTGCTGTGTAAATTTAGTTGTATTAGAAGATCCGGGACATATGACATTACGGGTCAAAGCTCACCTAAAGCCTGCGAATTAAGACCAAATCCAGGCCTGCTGCAATTTCCCTGTGGCCGCCGAGAATTGTTCACAGAGGCACCAATTTGCACACCATCAGACAGTCCGCAATCTGGGTCCAAAGGTGCATCTCGAAAATGCGTTTTGCCGTTGGAATTTTGAGCAGTGTCTGCCCCTGGCTTACTATGTGGTTGAAACTTGCCATGATTTTGAAAAGCCTCCAAGTCGATATATCTTCCCAGAACTTGCATGAACATAGTATCATAATGGGATTTTCCGTCCCAGCCCGATATTAGCATCGCTTTGAGAATCGAGGTAGCCACTACGAAGTGAATTTGTTCGCAGAGCAAAACCCACTCTCGGAGATTTTCCCGGATGTATTCGATAACAGTGGCAACGTCCTTATCACTTGATGCGTTCTCGAGCCTAGCACTCCGTTAGCGACTGCACTCCCAAATTTGCGAAATCTTACAGATTTTTGTTTCCATTATCCCCGAGTAATACAACAGCGCCAGGTCCGATTGCGACATAGAACGCATGGTAATGGCGACTCTTTGTATTATGAGTTGAGATCTCCTTCCTATCTTTTTGCAAGGATTTCGAAAGTTTGTCGATAGTTACTTTTCTTCGGGTAACACCTTTGGAAAGCTCACTGTCTGGAATGGACCTGTCGAGCACTTCAAGCACGTGAGCTTTCAGAAGATGCGCTATTCGCTGTCGGTAGATGTTCTTGACCTCGCTTTCGGCGCTGTCGTCGATCATTTGTTGTAAGGCTTCGTAGCGATGGATTTCATCCAGGGCATGATTCGGCAGTTGGCGTCCTTCCGTACTATCCCACAGAGTCTCGTAAAATTCTAACTGACGACGGCTTTTGGCCGCGACTTCCTGGATGCACTTGATAAGCTTTGATGCATTTTTGTTAAGCGTTGTATACTGTCCATTTCGTTTTCTGAATGATTCGGGTGTCACCACCGTGGGAACAGTCGGTCTTTTCTCCAGCCTCGTACGGCTTCGAAGGCGTAGGGTACTAGCGGTCGGTTCACAGGAGGAGGGATTTGGGTTGCCTGTACCTATCGGATGGGTGAAGCCAGAGAGATTCTGCAATGCACTGGTTGTTGAGGGTGTGGTTTCCAGATTGTGAGACAATCGAGGGTATTGGGACTTGAAGCTGGGGGGCATGAACTGGCGGAATTCATCACTCGTCCCTTTGGCAAAGAAGGCGTGGAAGATTGCCACGCACCCCTACAAACTCTCAGCTTTTATTGACATGTAATCGTCAATGGTCAGTACCTCGTCAATGACGGACGATGGTGAAAGGCCATCCAATGTGTTTTGCAGGGCCCGATGAACATCTCGAAATGCAGACATTTTGTGTGGTACGTCTGATAACCTGGTATGGCAGAAAGGCGCCTCTACTTGAACGCATTGGCTAGTGTGACCCCGCAGTGTTACTAGTTCAGGATAATACATGTTTTCCAGAGTGGGTTTAGATTTCACGCCCGTGACCTAATGCCGAATCTAAACCCACTCAGGAAAACGCTGGCTGGGCTCGGAGTGTGGCCCGTTGTCCTCACCAGGTTTCGAGATCCGCCCACAGTGTCAGCGTTGATCGCTTCTCAGTTGCCCGGATAATACCTCGCAAATGCCACCAGGTACAGCTCTGGATAACCAGCATTGGTTATCATGCGGGTGAGCGCTGGTCAAAATCTAAGTACCCCTTCACGCATCGACTCTACGAGTATGATGGCAACTTGATGGACACGCCGTTCTGCCATCATTCTTACCAGGCGATTATTGTTGCATCGGGCCTCTCGCTTCTACGCTTCTTGAGCGTGAAGAACACCAGCAATGGCATAATAAACACAACTTTCTATTGACAAGCTTGCTATGTATGTATGGCCTGCCCACAAGATATGTTATCTCATGAAGTCTATGTAGAGATGCTAGCCCTGTCGAAGTCTCACCAGGACATGGCACAGACCGATTCAAGAGTACAAAATAGGTAGGCGCTATGCTTATCAAGCCCCTGACAAAATTGCTACTCCTACGATATCAATTAGTATCATTACCACCATCAATGGAGGAAGCAATTCCAAATCCCTTCAGGCTAGCCTTGGCGGGGACTAGCCAGATTGTCCTGTTCAATATTCACTCTATATGGTATATATACGTCGACTACGTCGATATAACTTACCCCAATTTATCATATCCAATATTTTCTTCGCTGTCTGATAATCATGGTGTCTTTGATTCTGCTAGCGCTCTATATTATCATATGTCTATGTTGGTTTCGTCAACTGCCTTGTCTATAGTGGCATTATCTTAGCCGTTCTATGGTCTCTCTTATTCCTGAGAATGCTCTACCAACGGAACTGGAGACGAGGTTCTGTCGAGGGACTATCTGTCTTCCTCTATAAAAAAGGTATAGACTTCTTTTGTTTCGATCTATGTCAATAGATGGGCTAATCAGAGCAAGGGTCAAATCCCCTAAGACCATGACTGCTTAAGCGCCCATTGACGCATGTAAAATCCTCTATAGATTATTAATCAACTTCTTGGTTCTTGACCCGACAGTACTGCATTCCGTGGTTCCGTTCCTCACATGATATTCGTTGGTTTCATGTCCGTGGCTTCTGCGAAGAAATCCATATCTTAAGTGGTCCTTCCTTTATCCTATGTCTACTCCTACCCCTCCACCCTGACTCATTCTGCCTGCAGTATGCTGGGACGAGGCTAGGAACGTAAAGAATTTTCTTATATGTACTCATTTCGGGCGCTGAAGCAATGTACAAACGATGTGCGGGTGCACCGCCTGGAGATAGGTCCTTTAAGAGATCCGTTCGTTTAGCACTGTGCTTTCCTATCATCGACTCTTTACCCGGCCTCTTACCAGCCTTCCATGACAAGCTATCGTTGCGCGCATCCTCTTTACATCCAGCATTCTGAAAGTGTTGATAGTTCGAAGTCCCATGTCCTCCAACATGATAATGTCCGAAGTGGATTTAGGTGAAATAAAAGCCAGTCATTCATTCGTACCTTTATAGCTGCCATTACTATTCAATCACACCAGTATCCTAGCCATGGCATGCCCTTCTAAAGACGAATCTCGTCAGGCAACACATACTTGCCCCTGGAGGGGATCCATCTGGTGCGGCGCTTGCTAACAGATCGTTTATCTAGGGAGCGAGGTGCAAGACGGCCATATGCTCCGGGAACTGGTTTGAGCAGTTAGCGAGTCACCTCATCCGCTACGGCTTTGTTCTTGTATATTGCTAATCTCCTAGAAGGTACGCACAAAATGAGGTCATGGAGCGGTTCTCTAATAATTTATAGGCACCTCTGGCCAAGCCTGCCCTGTGACTATGTTCTCCGAGATGATTAGACTCCATAATTCGGGTTCTTACTACTCTGTGTATTTACAACTATAACGCATGCTTTCTCTCCTTGTTCTTGACTTTACGTATGTATTCTGACCGTAAAAATAACCTAGGAGGAGGAGATGATGTGTGATTTTGGGGCTTGCAGCCAGTATCCGCTTTCCAGGCTGGTCTAGGGTTTGACCCCAAGCCTGCCGTCCATGTTTTTGCCTTTTATGCGTTTATTCTTCTCTTCCCAGTCTTTCAAGATAACCCTCCCCCAGCTTGATTGGTCCAACTCGGTCGTAGAAACCATGTAATGCACAGAGTATAAGCAGTACCAACAAGATCCTCCTTTCCACCCGGTTGCAACCAACAAGAACACTATTTGTGTTCATACCTCTGACAAAAGGACTGTGTCATGCGAGACAGGAGTAAGACATAGGGACATGGGCATGTTCGGCCGGCTCTTTCCAAAAGTGGGTTAGATCGTATATACCGGCGTACACATACAATCTAGTCCTCTTTGGGGTATGTGCCTGAAATACGAAAGGAGAAGCTCTTGTACCAACCCAACATGGTCTGTCTAGGCGCTAGCCTTGCTAAAAACACTTGACCTAGTCTAGCATAGACCAGTCTAGAACCTCACTGAACTAACTCATTCTATCTCTGATCACTATCATCATCATTGGTAATGTGGGCTCGATATGTTTCCTTTAGGAGAGAACACATGCAAGTGCTTATCTACGAACACGCTATGCACACCAACTGACGTACATGATAGCCCACATTGTATCTTCGAATGTCCCCGGGAAAATGTCGATCTTAGGATTTATACCTAGTAGGCCTAATCCTCTTTCAGAGTAGATTCTCTGTGCAGAAATCTCAAGGCAGGAAAGAAATTTGATAATAGCCTATCATACAGCAGAGTAGCACCAAGGGTATACATGAGTGAGAAATCTACCCAGGAAGCCTTCTCTGGCCATAATGTCGCTGAGGAGGTGGTTCGTTCCTAAAGAAGTCCAGACGACCAGTAGAGATTGACACTGGAAGCTGGAAGCGAACTGATACGGCAATCATGGTGAGTGGTATGGCGCCCTTGCGGGATGGAGGGATTACCTGTGCCAATGGCATCGGATTCTTACACTTGGCCTCGGGACAGCTCAGCAAGACACTAAGCTTAATTGTCCAATTCCTTTGGGTCCAAATTCTTTTGGACAAAAGAGATTTAGATTAGTCTACCCGCTACGGCTCCAATTGTGATGATCAATCCACTAGTGGAACCATCGAATGAGGGTGTCCAGTTTTGAGGACTGGATTGGAGGTTATGCGATAATGCGTAAGTAGGCTAAGCCTCTTTCAGAATAGGTTTTCTGTGCAGAAATCCCAACTTAGAGAAAAGGGTTGACAGTAACTTATCATACAGCTGAGAATGTTGTATCGCATACCTAACTGACGGCACTAACCAACATGAAGGGATCTGAATGCGGTTTCACCCAGGTCATTAAATGACCAGGCAAAGTTTCTCCACGGGATTTCACTGACATGGCCCGGACCGGAGATAGCTTGTTGCTTGAATCATCACTATCTAGGCTACGTAGCTGGGCGCGTGGCAGGATAATACACGTTTTCCAGAATGGGTTTAGATTTCACGCCGGGGACCTAATGCCGAATTTAAACCCACTCAGGAAAACGTTGGCTGGCCTCGGAGTGTCGCCCGTTGTCCTCGCCAGGTTTCCAGATCCACTGTTTAAGCGTTGATCGCCTCTCAGTTGCCCAGATACTACCTCGCAAATACCGCCAGGTATAGCACTGGATTGCCAGCACTGGCTAATGCCGCTGAGCGCGACCAAAGTCTAAGCACTTTGTCGCATCAATTTTACGATTGCAATAGCGACTTGATCGGCACGCCGCCCCACCATTGCCATCCTTTGTACCATGCGATTAGTGTTATATCGGTGGTTGCACGGAAGGTGGCTTTCTAGTGAGCAGAAAGAGAGGAAGGCGGATCCACAGGACTTAGCAACATAGATAGGTTTCTGGGTATCTAGTGTGTTTGACAAATTCTATGGATGAGTATGCCAGCGAAAGGAAGTGGAAACTCTGCTGTCGCTATGTAAATCACACATCTCTTTCACAAGATCACACAACCGACATCCTTGGACTTCAAGATTCCTGAACAATATCGGCCTTCTCTTTCCATCATGGCTGAAATGAGCTAACGCTGGAGCAGAAATACATGTGCACTGCTAAGGAGTGTACCAAAGAATTCACATCTATCGACGATTGGCGTATCCACGTGGAAGACTATTCCTTCGATGCCGGGCGCATATGTCTCTACGATAGCTGCGGTGAATTCTTCTCAGCCAGCTCCAATGAGTCGCTTGCCCATGGGTCTCATCTCTACCTCAAGCATCATGTCGAATCGTGCCGCACGGAAGAACTGAGTAAAGTCTTTATCGATAAGAACTTTTGCTCTGTTGCGGAAGGAAGGATGTGGTGCTCTCCTTGTCGCGAATTGCTGGAATTGGACAACCGTGCGGAGGTCCTCGACCATTTCCAAGGGCATATCCAGGATGGGTCTCAATTCAAGATCCCTGGGCAAACGAAATATCCAGACACCAACCGAGCGAGGCAGGCAGAAGTTGAACCATCGGCCAGATCCGCGAACGAAGGCAAAGATGATGTTGTCGATCTTACTGGGCGCGGAATTCTTGTATGGATACCTCCTGCTTAGCCATACCTAAAGATGGGAGCTTCTGCTTGTAAGGGGGAGGATTGGGGTTGGATAGGGTATGTAGAGGGGCATAGAGGCTCTTCCTGCGGCGGGAAAGGATGTGGTTCAGGCAGCAGGACCGTTCGACGCACGCTAACGCCGGACATAGCCTGGTAAAGTGGCTCTGGTTAGAGTGCTCCCTTGGCTGTGGGCGTTGAGAGAGGTACAAGGCCTTCGACAGCCAGTGTTTCTTGACAAAGGGGGCATGGATTATGGTATTTGTGCGACAGGTTTACTGTGTGGATGACTAGGAGTGATGAGAATGCACCCAGGAGGGTTTAGTGAGATAGATCATAGTATTAACCGAGAATGGATTGGGACGCTCGTAAAGAAGTTGCCTTCTGCTCCCTAGTAAGAGATCTGCTACGGCACATGGCGGGTTCCTTCGTCCCAGACATGGCACAGTGCCCCCAGGGATCGTCGGACTGCCAGCGAGATTTGGTCCAAGAAAAGGAACTCACCATAAGATCAACTCAGACGCTCCAGCACCATTGTCAGCTGACTGGCGATTGGTTCTTTAAAAGAGCGGTCCTGCCTTGTCCAAAATTTGCCGTAATTCGGTAATTGCTTATGTGATCTCCTAGGAGGCGTGCCAGTCGCACAGGAGACTTCCACTTCTTAAGTGAGTGCTACGTCTACTCCAAGGTCAAGTTATTACAGCCTGTTGGTACGATGACCCCAGAATTAAGATGACTACAGTCCCAAATCCAACTTCACCTGGTCAACATGCCGTCGAGGACACGAACTGCAACCAACTCGCCCTGTATCGCATCCTATTGCAAGTCTCCAAGCTACCCTATACGTGTCCTCTGTGCCTCCACGGGTACAGTCGTTATGATAACCTCTACGAGCACTTCAAAACCACGAAGGAAGCTCAGCACATGGCGCTGAAGAACCTGTGGTTCCGGAGTAAATGCCCAGTTTGCAGCGAACCCGCGTATTAAGTCCTGCAACATGTGGCACAGCGACACCCGGTGAATTATCAGAGTCTAATGAAGCAAACCCTGCGTTTACGACACGAAGTGAATACCACAATTCCCAAGTCGCCAGCATGTTTCGAGCATATATATCTTTTCCCTCTTAGGCGACTGGACCGTGTTGTCAGCTTACCGACCAAAAAGCAGAAACGGAAGCCAGGGAGGCGAGATGGCATCAGCGAAATGGCGGGAGACATTGTAGGTGCTGAGGCATCTTGGGGTATGGAGCTTGCTTGATGAATGACTCGCTGACGGTCGCTTCAGGCCGACAGTCTACCCCGCTAGGTCACATGCTAGTCCACATATGACAATCACATCGCATCCCTGACAGGATGCCAACCATATTGAACACCCGCTATTGTCGTTGGCCAGCACAAATTGACTGACTCATCTGGCCATCTCGCTCGGCTAACTGGTCGAGCATCCGCAACCGTGTCGAAAGCGTCTGACTTAACGACCAACACTGATGAACGACTACGGCAAGGTCAGCAACGCAGGCAGCGTATAACCTGACGGGTGACCTTACTAGAGAGAATCTCTTCTTCCCAGACCCCGACCTCATAGTCCACTAGTCCATGCTTTTCTATCCTGTCACAGATAGCAATCAGCTCCTCACCAAATGTTTCTATTTGTGAAATGCTCAGACATGGGTCGGGAAGAGGAATGTTCGCCGTCATCGAAGCCCGGGTCAAATCCTTCTGCTTCTGCCAGACTGCAAGACAGCAGATATTGAACTCGCTCCAGAGCCTGAGTTGCCTAGGATGAACCGCAGCGTCGTCGTACAGAATGCCTGATAGAAACGGCGTGAGCCCATGGTCAGTGAAACAGGGCAAAACAAAACATATAAGCGATAAACCTTGAGACATACCGCGCACTACTGCATCACTAGTAACCCAGAGGAGAAATCCTAATATTATCTCTGCTGCCTCGGCGGTTCGGTTGTGAAGACACAGACAGAGAGCTTCATCCCGATCCCTGCCGAATTGCCTCAGGATCTTTTCCAAGCAGATTTCGGCCGGAGGACCCTCTTCTATCGTCCCCCGTTCGTCAAGCTCTTCTGCTGGGATTGAATACCTCAGGTGGTCAGCATCTGGGGCGTGAATGCGTAAAATGTCCGTGGAAAAGGTATCAGCTTGGTATATGTGGTCGTTCCCGTCGTACAACAACCTAAGAAGGATAGCATTAGCTGAGGCCAACAGAGCGACGGATGCTAGTCTATTTCTTACATCAGTAAGTTTTCCATAATGATGTACTATCTCCGAAACCCACTTAGAGACATCGCGGGAGTGAGTGTGGCCAGGTAGGACGTTGGTGAGCCTTGCTTACCGACGTGGTGCAGATTGGCAGAGAGTGGGCAGATGTAGACAGGATCCTCGCTATGTAGATGTCGCGCACGACTCCTTCGTGAGCTGTGAGAGTCTTCCATAGCGCAATCATCCAAGATGAACCATGGTTCTAAGTCAATATGCATCAAGTGGAGCTTGGAAGAACTCGCTTGCTCTTTCGACCACGGATGGCGCGAGCTGCACCTCCTGGCAAGCACCTTATGGTTTACCGTAATCTGGTAGTGGGGAATGAATGCAGCCGACCACCACTCTACACGTATCATGTAGCCCAATGGCCGGCATTATGCATGGGATAATGATAATCATTCTATCTGCATGCGTAAACGCCACCTCTGTGTAGTCATTTCTGTGTCTCTGTGGTGATGTAGGTGCCATGCTACCGCACAGACTTGATTTTCTTCTAAGAGACGAGTTACCGTAGACTGGCTGGTACTCCAGGATACATCCACACCCACATTAGCGTTCTAGACCACCCAGCAGACAGACCCGCCTCTCAGTACTCTTGCCTCGTTCGACTAATCGCTTCCAACGACGCTCAGACAGCAAGTGTTGTCGTAGGGATAGTCCGTGGTAAGTTTGTCCCCCCCCTGCGCCTTGCGCGTTTTCGTTATTTAATATACCTGGTCTATAACATATAATGGGTGGAGTTCCTTCTCAGAAGCTGCCACGATAGCCTTGACGCCCTTCAATAGCCGTGTTCGTCTGGACCTTGCGTTGGCATCTGCCCTACTCCATGGCTACTCCGTCCGATGCGCCCTTGGCTAAGGGTAGAAACTCCGACGCCCCCAGTTTTTTGTTCCTCTGCAACGAATGCTATAGAGATGTTGGGCCAGCGGTGTTTGGCCATCGACATATTTGGTTCACCCAGAGACCGGAAACTTTGTGCCTCTGCTGCGAAAAGCATCATGAAGTTGGACTATTCGTGAGCATGTCCAAACAATCTGAGGCTAGTTGCGGCTAATACTCCCCCAGGTGCATGAACGTTATTTCGAACAGGTCAAAAGGGCCCGAAATATCTTTCTGCAGTTAGAGGAGCAACGCCGCGAACTGGAAAAGCAAATGCTAGAATATAGTATGTTGCCCAGAGGCTTTCAACGTATCTACTGACTTGTCAAAGGTTCCAAGAAGGACCATTAGGTCTCAGCAAGAGTTGTTCCTGTGTAACACCAGACGTCTCCCATGCGTTCTAAGAGTTCTGGGCCTCGTTCACGTTACCATAGACACTTCCAAGACGTGTGCGTCATTCAAATATGACCCGGATTATCTTTGATAATAGGCGTAGAGCTCTACATAGCAGCCGGACATTTGGAGAAAGAAAAGCACAACATGATTCACTATAGTCCTATAGTTCTCGCCTATTCTCGTCTTCGTTTCTCTAAATCCTGCTCAGGGGCTCAATATCGCTCCCTTGAGTCCCTACACCCCTACGTTTACCAAGATTTGGTAGTGGGGCAAGGCGTTTCCCGCCTACTGATTGGACGATTTTATCCAAACCAACTTTGGCTACTTCGATCTAGAGGCGGCGTCAGTACCGGGCCCTGGGACATAAATCAGATATGGCACACCCGACCTGTAGTTGACCCGGTTGTTACTTTTGACCCTTGTTCTTCCGGCCTCCAGGACGTATCGCCCCTTATCGCGAGCGGAGAAGATATATGCAACCCTCCCACGATGGAATCAAGATCCGAGACTCACTACGACTCCGATGTGGAGCTTGATGTGTATGCCCATTTCACTATTTCAGATCCGTTTCTTATCCTCCATAGGTCTCTTGAGTCGCTCGATGATTCGTTTAAAGTTATAATCAGTGACCATGGACGCTACTATTCGTCCCGCTATCGAAGACGCCATCCTTTCCCCGTCGACCAGGTTTGTGTCCCATCGCTCACCTCCGACTCTACGCTAATCAAAATATGGATAGAGAGAACGAGAACGTCAAAGTAAGTTGGACACCTTTCCTGACGCTTCATTACTGATGTCTTATTGAACGGCAATTTCTTGCATACTGTGAACTTTTTGATTGGAGGTTATGTCCAGTGTCTGCCGGTGCTGCTCGGAAGGTTCTCGACGTGAAAACTGGTGCTGGATGTTGGACAATCAAGTTTTGTATATGCCAAATGATCATGTCTCTATACACATACTAACTAAAACGACAGCTGAGGAACACCCGTCGTCAATGGTAAGTTGTCTCCTGATCTCTCACCAATACATCAACTAACCGCAAAGGTTTCTGGAATTGATACGATATACATGCAAGAAGAATGGTATGGACCAAGAAGATGGTTTCCGCTAAGGCCAGTCTGACTGTATAAGGGTCCCACCTAATTGCGAGTTCTGCATCGATGATCTAGATCGGCCGGACTGGTATTATCCTTTCAGAAACAGTGAATTTATCCATGTTGGTGGATTGGGGGGAGACCGCCAACTGCTGACGTGCATCCTACATGGAGCATACCGGTATGGCCTCACACCACGTATCACTCATACTAATCCAGTATCAGGTGCTGCTCACCAAATGGCATGTTGGAAATATGGGACAGCAACGTTCATTTTCAAGACCCTTACGGCGAAACTGGCCTCCACCGTCTCTATAATGACATGCATAAAGCCTTTCGGATGGACGGACGCTCACTTGATCTTCCCCTCCAATACCTCTCGGAAATGGAAAGTCACGGCTTTACCAACGTTGCGGAGCACGTCTATCGTATACCACTCAACACGGCACAGCCGATGACCCAGCAATCGGTTGTGGTGAGCTGGGCAGACGGATTTGAAGCGTACAGCATGGATTTACTGGTTAAGCACCTAGGAAAGCGCCGTCTTGAAGTTTTCCTCATCTGTGCTGCCGCGCGTCAAGCCCTGCGGAAAGGGGTGGAAGGCTGGCTCGAAATGTAGGTCACAGCCAAGTATACATTAGACTCCTTACTGACGATCACAGCCGTATAACGTCCGGGCGAAAACCAACAGCACCTCTGTGAAGTTTTCATCAATATCCCTTTATGAGTTCAAGAAAGCAAAGGCGATGCACATCAGTCAAGCTCCGATGTGTCCCTATCTGATCCCTGGGAAAGCATTGAGAAAAGCGGTGATGCCCCAGTCATATACTACATGTTGTCAAAAAATGGCCCACAATTGACATCGCATACCTGGAAGTCTTATAAACGTACTGAGAACGATAGAGCACAGGGAGGAAACGACGGTAAGTTCTGGTCGGAACTTTCGTCTTTCTTCGGCCTGGGGCCAGCAACAATGGGTACGTTAGAGGCTGATGCTCCGCCAAATGTCTTCGGAACATCCCGCATTGCAGAGTAGGACGAGGGAGTCAAGGAGAATCAAATCTTAGTGATTGACTGGGTAGTTAATGCCCTGTAACTGGGCAGCATATAATTACTCGTATTTCGCCTTCCCTGCTGCAGGGTTAATTGTCGTCCTTGCGTTCCCAGAGCGAACTATTACGTCTGTAATGCAAAAGGAGATAAATATGAGCCCTTATCACTCAGATGAGAACCACATACCGGACAAGGAATAGATCTGAGCATATTTCCTCGACGTCTGTGTGGCCGGTTGTTTCCGAAAAGCCTGCGCTCAAAATTCGTTGTTATCGCGACTGGATAAATGTGATACTTTGCAATAACCGCGCTAGACAAGCCCTGTGTAATTTCTTTTGGCATCGGAAAAGCCATGGTCCTGGTAGTAAGTCATTGAGACCACATGGGCCAAGCAGCTTACATACTCTGCTTGGAGGCTCGTGGTTTGAGTTGAAGCGAACAGGCACAGCTGAATACCAAAACCTGTGGTCAATGACGAGGGATAATGCGCCCCATATAATATAACTTATAGGATCCACATTGCAGAGATCTGTCTTTTTCGACACCCGACAATCTGCTCAACAAGGACCATTGTCAGAGATTCCTGCCAATGTTGCCGCAGAAGGCTTTCTAGGAATCGATCTGAAGCGGTGTGAGCTAGAAGGGGATCCGGAGCTTGTAACGTCTTTGCTACATGATCACTATCCTGACACTGACCAAAGAAATAGTAGCCTTAAATGGGAAATATGGGGCAGATCCGTCCATCTTGACTGCACCTGTATTGGGCTAACCAGCAATTACGTCACTAAAGAATTCCCCCATAATCACTGTCGGCCCCAGACGAATACCATGATTCAGCTATATGCTAGTGATGATCAGTATATTGCGTTGGACCAAAGACGCACTTGTTACTCACAAATGGTGCGGGCAATTTAACGATACTTGCCGAGCTAGAAAGCACGTCGAGATATTTAACCTTCCAGTTGTTAGCTGGTCGTGTGCCACATCGTGCCATTTTTGAGTCGGAGGTTCGACGGCCAGCGCTTGAAGCGTGAACGCAAGAACCTGACCGATGGCGGTCCGGTGGAGGCGCACTTCATCGTCCGCCTGCACATCCGCCTGCACATCCGCCTGCGCATCTTGATTGGGCATACACAAGAGAATATTGAATAATGTGGGATTACCCCCCGGGATATAAAGGAAAACGAACGCCTCCCCGGTGCAGATGTAGCCGTATCGAATGCCACTGTCAATCATGTATAAGAATATCTGAGCGACCATGGCGACGACGAGGCGAGTTAGCATAAACTCAAGCGTGTCACCTTCCTAGTCAATGACGTCGCGAGCCAGATCCATTGGGTGTAGACCCGCCACCAATTCGGGAATCGTCACTTTGTCCGGCGCTTTGTACTCCACTGCATATACGGGTATTTGTCGTTCGTCCGCCACAAGGTGCACGCAGAACCGGTCGGCGCGCCAATCACGTCTTCGCGCAGTGCCATTCCTGCTCTGTCTTTACGTTGTTCCCCTTCCCCTTCTTCGGTCTCTTCCATACGAAAATGCCTCATGATCGCCAGTCGTTGGAGTGTCCGCGCATCCTCAAGATTGATTCATTTGCTCCATGCTGTTCTCCAGCAGTATCTCCGACGGGTTTGCGCGATCATAGAAGGTGACTCGGCCTTGGACGCCAAACTCGTGTTAAAGGGGTTCATCATCTCGCAGGGCGTTGATAACTTTTTCGGTTGTCTATTGTGTTTCGCTCAAGATTCCATAGAGACGCTCCGAACAGAGCGGCCTGTTCTGGTTCGCAAAGGTCACAAGGGTCGCATCTGCCTCAATTGGATCGCCCGTGGCAGCGAATGAGGAAAAATAGTGTGTTGGGTTGCACTCGCCAATGTGCCGCTTCTTGTGCTAGTCTCTCTTCCTCCTCGCGGCGCTCTGCCGCTTCTCGCAACACTTTGTTGTTCTTCGATTTGACGTCACAGTTCGGCTATCGTTTCCTCCATCCCTGTTTGAAAAGAGTACTCAGTAAATAATCGAGTATAAATAACTCAACAACATTGGGCGGCGTTGTTCAGCGGGCGCGGGGAACAGTGTGCAGGAGAGAAGTGCGAGTCTGGTCTGTTTACCAGCTTACTCACCAGTCCGTAGTTGCCTCAGGCATCAATATACGTCAGTCTCAGACTCATTCGTCCCCGCAAAATACGCCGGCTCGATGATACCTAAATTTCCATATGAGCAGTTATAAGAATTCGATCCTTCTTCAATCATCGGCAAGTAGAGTCACCGTAGCGAGACGACTATTTCGATTGCGTCACTCTCAACTACCACAATCCGTTTTATATAAGTACTGTAGAGGATGCTTCCTTTGTACGAACTTGCTGAGATGGATTGCACGACGAAGCAGTGAATCAGCAAAGGCTTTTTCCAATTAGAGATAATAGTCTTACCCCTCCCGTTGACTGCCCGTTTGTGCAAAAACGCTACTGGATGATCTAGGCTTTGAGGGTTAGACACCATGCAGTTATTACCCATTGGAGCTCATCGACAAGTGGAGAAAACCCGGTATTTCCCGTCGATTATTAATACACCGCGAGGGTGCTTTCATGCTGTGAATATCGCTGAATATTCGACAAACAATATTCCATGTTATGCCTTGGGATCGCGAGATGCGGCCTACACTTTGTCAGTGTATGACCATCAAAAGGGGACAGACCAGAGACGCCTACCAATTGCTCTCGTGATAGAGGCCATTGGTAGCTAGAATTGCAATACATGATTTGGCCGTTTTGTTAGTCGTATTATCATAAAGAAGTCAATGATGGGTGTTCTGGGCGCTGGAGGACAGCTTCGCCCTTATTTCTCGCCAGCTTGCGCGGAGTAGACGTCAGATATATCGTCCTTCTCTCTACTATGTTCACCAAGGATGTCCCTCCTTGTCGGTACCGTGCAGCAGAGGTTCAGAAATACCTTTTGCAGTACAGAAATCGTCCTATAGGAGCGGTCAGCGATGTTGTTGACTTCTCAAGCAAACCACAACGGCACTCCCACTTGGACATCCATGTCGAGGAAACCGTATCATCATTTCGTTCCTCTGGCTCACCAGATTACTTGTGTTCAACGGCCATATCCATAGCTTCTGGGTGAGTGCCGTGATCATCTCCCAGGGCAGAGCGCACAACAACGAGGCAAACAATCAGCCCATGTCCTTCTCCAACATACTTCGAAAAATAGCAAGTCTGGATACTGGGGCCGTAGTTGGGGTGAACACACGGAAAGGGAGACGCAACCTATCACGCGTGATCGTTAGGAGAAACACTGGTCTGCATTTATCCGATATTACTCACCCGCTTCCCGTCAAACGTTCTCCGTGCGGAGCCGAGCAGGAGGCAATGAGGCGACTCCGAATTGGATGTCCCTTTAAAGTCGTCATCTTCGAATCCGAAAAGCTGGAAATTTCTGCCGACTTCGGGCAGGTGTCTGGACTCACAATCCAATGGCAGATCGCATCGAATCACAACGACACACGAAGTCACCTGTACAACGGAAGAAGATGTCCGGACTGGTACAGACAGATCCCAAGAAAGAACATGAGCATGCCGTTGCAGAAGCGATGGAGAAGAAGCTGTACGGTAGGAAGTAGGAAATTTATAAGCCACTCTTGGGAGAAGAAACGAAAAATGACCCCGCCTACATAGTGGAGTATGCATCCTGCCCAATCTCTAGAAACCAAAAATCTATAAAACTTGGGCGCTTACCTGTAGCAGCACCTCCTCAACCGTAGCGTGTTTTTCGTGGCTACAAATCAAAATGAGCTCTTGTTGTCATTTGGTGGGTACGCAGGCTTGCTGCAACTCCCCCCTAATCAGACTAGTATCTGCAAGGAAGGCTTGAGGGTATGGTTGAAACATCTCTTATCCTCGCTGGGCCGGGGGTGTTGACTCGGCCTCAGACCGGGAGGTCAGCCTTCACATTCCAGTAAGAGGACCAGCGAAGCGTAGGAAATGGAAATTCACATCTATGGCAATGCTTTATAATATTTCGAGAAAGAGGATGGTCAGTAGACGGGACACTGTTGCACGAAAGCTGGCTGCCTTTGATGGGTCCATGAAGGTGACTTTATAGACCGCGCACTTCAATGCCAAGCGTGATGCTCTATACCTGATTAGGAACACTATACTACCCAGGCAATTTTGCAAAATATCAATGTCCCGCAACTTGTCATGGCACGTACCTGTTCCAAAGAAGATGGTCTAATGGAATACCTGACCATGCCCCTTTTGAATGAGAAACAGATGGTCGTCTACACGTCCTACTAAGCGTGAGGCCATATGATGATGTTGGTCAATGGAAAAGCAGAATGAAACCCGTCAAAACGAGCGGGCATGTTATCCCACGACTTGACCGTTCGCGTACCGGCGAGGGATACCTTGGTTTCAGTCGCACATAGCCTTAGCTGGTCATCTTGAAAAACCCGTATTTCGTTTGAATCATAAACCTACCTTTTTCTCACCCAGTTGAATCTACAAATCATCCGACTGAACGTTATGACTTTGCCGAGTCACTTGAGATGAGGAGAGTTTGGGAGGTCAATCAGTGCCTCCATGGAAAACGCGCGCATCAGTCTCGTTGGTTTGACCGAGGTCGATATTTGACGGTGACTGCCGAGCACGGGCGCTTCTAACAAGAGCTTTTCCCCCAAAGCCCGGCCATCTAGCTGAGCCAACCTAGAAGCAGGTCAAGGCAGAGATCACGGTCGTTTGTGACTGGTCTCGCGTCATGTGGTCAAAAATTCATCCATCATCAATAGTCAACGCAACATCCTCTTATCTGACCGAGCCAGCTATGCATGAACTTCATTGTCTAAAGCAATAAAATAACCTTAATCAGAAGCAACGCAGGTCATGTATTCAAAAGTTGGTGACATAGGTGCTGTAATAGCACGGACTATCATAGCTGAAAGCAACATGACTACTCATGATAGTATGTGTTTAAACTCAGGAAATGCAGAGTCGGGCAATTCCATTGCTATGAGCACAACTGCCTGGCCCTCAAGATAGCAGTAACCACCAAGGCAAAGCACAGCGACAACTTTCTCTGTTCTCCAACGGACAGGCTCTCGGTGACTGAGATATTCCGTCTTGAGCACACGGCACCAGCCAGTATGTTGCCCACCGTTAGCCTCTGTTTACCATGGCTGCTGGTTCTGGTCGGCCAGATTGCATGGAGACATTCCCCGGTTTCCCACCTCAAGACGGAACATTGACCCTTTCGTTTTGGCATTATCCATCCGTAGAGTAATCCAGAATGGCGTGTCTGATTCTTTACCCCCTTGCCAGGGGCGTTTTTTCCGGACCCCCCATTTGGGCATTCCCCTGGGTTTTGCTTCCCGTTGGGGAGGGGGTTAACTTTGGGCCAGCCCCTTAGGAAATACCCGTTGTTCCCATATTGGAATAGCGAGTAAAGAAATCCCAGCGGTGGAGCTGGTGACTAGAAAAGCCCCAATCAACCTTATTTGAGCGTGCCGGTCACCGTTGCCGAGGAATTCCTACTCATTAGACCCGGGTCAGCGAGACAGGGAAATCACCCACCCGACACAATGCCATTTCATTCGTCCACAGTAAAGGGCGGAGATGAATTTGCATTCTCGTCGAGGGTCGCTCTCTTCTTTATTCTGAGGGCAAAGTGTGGCCCCAATCAAAAAGCCTGATACAGAGTAATGAAATTCAAGGTTTAGTGGTACTCGGTGATCCGAATCTGTTTCATTGAGTTTCAATTCTATGTTCCAAACAGTGTAGGAGATCAGAAGCTTCCCAAGGTTTTTTGAAACATCTGACAATCTCGCACACGATACGGGATATGACGTCATGGGCGACAAATAGCGGTTGGGTACAGGCAGAGGTGCTGTAGAAACTGGAATGTCTGACGAAAGAAGGAACAGGCAATCATGGTG